AGATCACAATAGGGACACAATCTCAGGTCCCCAACCTTCTTTCCTGAATAGGTGAATTTAAGTGCTGCTGCCAGCCCAAAAGTTACTCCCAATTAGAGCTTTGAGCAAATACAGGGGAGTTGGGATTTTAAACTATCCCCCACATTTTACAACCTTAGCTTTTTACTACTATCACAAATGACTAGCAAGTTCCTGTCCCTTTACGAGGTAGATAATCAGGGACATTAGGCATGCTTACAGACTATCTTCCCATGACCTCTTGGCTCTGACCAATTTTGAAGGGCCACACACAAATGACTCCAGGATCTGACTCCACTTCTGCTATCGGAGCAGTGGCTTACTGTCTCAGGATGCTCCATCATTTGCCACGGTCCCATGATTGCCTTTCTCTATGCTGGAATAAATGCACCCTTGGCATTTTCTGTGGTCAGTTGCTAGACTTGAACTCAGGGTTTGAGTGCTGTTCCTCAGCTCTTCAGCTCAAGGCTAGCACTCTGCCACTTGAGCTCCAAAGCAACTCTGCTTTTCCAGCACTTTGCTGGTGGCTTAGTGATGACAATCTCTCAGGGACCTTTCTCTGGCTGGGCTGGCTTCAAACCAGTTTTCAGATCAATGAGTCTTATATATGTGGCCACTTTACTCTAATTAAAAGCAACAAAGATGGTCACTGGAAGTAGTTCTATAAGCTTTGTCTAACCTGGAACCTTTTTGTTGGTCATGGGGCTTCAACTCTTGGCCTGACACAGACACAGAAGAAATAGCAGGCTAAATAGTATGGGCTGATAGGAGGGTGCTAATGAGGAGCTAATTTTGTAGGTGGTGTAAAGATTCTCGTTAGGATACTGGAAAGAATTATGGCAATAAATACTGGTGATAATTACACAGCTTTATAAATAGACTTTGTATCATTCAGTTGTATACTTGAAATTATTGAAATGATGTGTGTTGTATATTTATTTTTTTCTATATTTCTAATACATTTTTATTTTTTATTATCATTATGATATGGTAGAGGAAGTAAAGATGGAATATAATATTTGACTTGAATTGTGTAAAATGGCTAATGAACGATTTTAAGATATAAGTGTGCTGTGGATAAGACTTCCCTGGTAACTGACTAGCTATTTTAGCTAGTAACTGTAATTGTAACTCTTAACCCTGTAACTCTGTAAGTCTGCTTCTGCTGCTTTTTGAGCAATGGGAACCCTAACTCAGTGGAACCATCACACCCTTTGTTCTATTCCCCTGCTTCCCACCAGCAAAACCTTGGTGGGAAATTTAAACTTAAGGTGTGAATTTCTTGTAACAATTATTGGCTAAAACCAACAGCCAACCTCCCCCTTTCCCCACACTAGCCCAAAATGCTTAAAAGCCGATGTGGGCTGGCACTCAGGGCTGTTTTCTGAGATCTGGACTCCAGGTGCGGTCCTGGTGTGTCAGCACTTTTCGCTCAATAAAATCTTTTACATTTTCACTGCGGACTGAATGGTCTCACTGCCCCTCCCCACTACAATTAAAAGGTGATTTACAGAGGGGTTACAGTTACATAAGCCAGGGAATGAGTATCTTTCTTTATGGACAGGGACTAGAGTAAACCCACATAGCATTTGTAGACCTTGATCAGATGTATATGTGTACAAATCTCCATATATCTGATCTGTACTTTGTCACCACTATTATCATGTGCTTGCTAGGTCCCAAGCACTGTGTAAGTCTTCAGACATTCACTCCTTCTTGTTCTCTTGCCAGGACTATGCAAGCTATCCTTCCTTCACAGCTGTGAAGCATTGGAAATGAAGGACAGAGCTATGGCAGCATCTAGGGTCATAGAAACTGGTTGCCTAAAGAGCAGGCGCTGATAAAAAGAAGTTAGTCTACTTTCTAACCTTTGGCCTTGGGAGGAAGGGTGATTCTTGATTTCCAGACAGCAGGTACACCCCAAGCCAATTTTACTATTTGCATTGCTACTTTACAGACTTTAAACAAATCAAAATAAATTCACTAGAAATGAATTTTTGTTCAGGCCATAGGAAGGAGAGTAAGATTTACAAAATACAAAGAAGTTGAAACGTATTTAGTCAATTATATGTTTCTGTGAATGACATTTTGTGACTGTTGGAAAGTTCATCCTTGATTTGTATTGCCTTTCTACATATAATTTGTGCTTTGGGCTTTGAGACTATGATTTACATCCAAAACAGAGGTATGTATAACAAGTTGAGGCACACCTTGCAGTATCATCTTTATTATTACTATTTTTTATTTTTTTTTGTCAGTCCTGGGGGCTAAACTCTGGGCCTGGGTGCTGTCCCTCAGCTCTTCAGCTCAAGGTTAGCATTCTAGCACTTGAGCCACAGCACCACTTCTGGCTTTTTTCTGTTATGTGGTGCTGAGGAATTGAACCCAGGGCCTCACACATGCGAGGCAAGCACTCTACCATGGAGCCAACTTCCCAGTCCTGAAGTATCATCTTAAAGAGATTTTTCAGGAATGGATATGGAGAAAGTTCATAAAAAGGAGGTGTTTTTTGGTGCTGGGGAAGGGAAAGACCCCAGGGCCTCTGCATGCTAAACATATACTCGACCCTGAGCTAATAGTACTCATCTCCACCTCCATTTTTGTACAGGAATTCCGTTGAGAGAAAACAGAGAAGCCACAGTTTGACAGGGCAAACTGGGAGTCTTTATTAGAAAGCTGGTGACCATAGGCGGACTCCAGTCTCAAAGACCTTCAGCCCAGTACAGAGCTTTCACAAAGCTTTTAATAACAGAAATCACGTTTGGGGTGGAGATCCAAATCAAACAGAAAAGACCATATAGGGAAATGCTTAGGTACCAGCAGAACTTTCCACCTAGGGAAGTAGATCAGGAGTCAGCTTAAACTTTCCATATAGGGGGATAGTTCTCAAACTAAGGCCAGCATACTCTATAGCAAATGCTTTCCTAGGGATGAACAGCATGTCTGCAATTCAATGAATGGCCTCTTTCATCTTTAGGCTTTTCAAACTGGGTGGAAAGCAAGGTACAGCCATCCATGTACCTTGCTGGCTGTAAGGATAAGGCATAATTGCTTAGACCCAACCTTCCTTCCTTCCTTTCTTCCTTCCTTCTTTCCTTCCTTCCCTCCTTCCTTTCCTCCCTCGTTCCTTCCTTCCTTCCTTCCTTCCCTCTCTCCCTCCCTCCTTCCTTCCTTTTCTTCCTTCCCTCCTTTTTTTCTTTTAAAGAAAAAGTAAAAATTCTAGTAAAGCTCCTTGGGTTTCTAAGGCTGTGAATCTATTACATAATAGCCACCTGGAGAACACAGAAATGATTTTTACTGTGATTTTACCTTCTGAACACAGGGAGGGACACACTGCAACAGCCTTTATTTCTGGGTTTTATTGGATGACTGGAATACAGTGATGTTGCTAGGACTGTTGACACCCTCACCTTTCAGAAGTGTAACTTATGTGATCTCTTTTCTCAAAGTCCATGTTGCTTATAGTGTTAGGAGAGAGCATGGCGAACATCAGTGAAGGATTTGCTATTCCTCAGAGATTTTGTTATCAGCATCTTCCTGTCAGTCAAACCTTTAAAAAAATAGATGAAGTTGATTGGTATGATTTGTGTGTGTGTGTGTGTATGAGAGAGAGAGAGAGAGAGAGAGAGAGAGAGAGAGAGAGAGAGAGGAAGGGGGAGGGGGAGGGAGAGAGAGAAAGAGAGAGAGAGAGCACAGCAAGCACACTCTGGGGCCTGAATTCAAGGAATGGAAATTGTATTGATCTTTTTTTTTTTTTTTTTGCCCAAGTCTACTGCTTTGCCACCATAGCTTCATTTGTGATTTTTTTGGTGATTAGTTGGAGTCTCATGGACTTACCTGCAGCTTCAAACTACAAACCTCAGATCTCAGGCTCCTGAGTAGCTAGGGTTAAAGGTGTGAACCACTTGCACCTGGCAAGGCGATTTTTAATGAACATTGATGAGCTTTGAGGCAAGAAGGAATTGTGAAGACTTTGTATTATTCCCTGGTAGGGTCTAAGTATTGGTAGTCATTTGACAGCAGGTATTATACTCAATAGGGGCTCCAGTCCTAAAAAGTCTTAAAAATGGCCTCTTGTAGCCAGGTGCTTGTGGCTTTGGCATGTAATCCTAGCTACTTAGGAGGGTGAGATCTGAGGATCATGGTTTGAAGCCAGCCCAGGCAAAAGAGTCCATGAGACTCTTAACTGGTAGAGTCTTAGCCTTGAGCAACAAAAGCTCAGGGAAGAGCACCAACTCCCCAAGTTCAAGCCTCAGAACTGGCACACGCACACACAAACAAGTCCTCTTCTACTTCTATGCCTACACTGAAACGACTGCCATAAAAACTACTTCCTTTGAACATAGTCTTTTGTTGATCTTAAGTTCATATGCAATTTTTTTTCTTGTAGTACTGGGGATAGAACTCAAAGCCATATACTTGCTAGCTCAGCAGTCTACCACTTGAGCCATCCCCACCCCCCCTCCCCCGCCAGTCTCTACACACTTCTTTGCATGGTTTGGTATTGGAAGTGGCCACTTCTACTGGGTGTGTAGAACAATCATATACATGTGAAGTTTGGTGTCTCATAGGTCCCAGAAATTTTAGCAGAGTCCAGTGCAGCACAAAGAACACAACTTTAGGTAGATGAGTCGATTAAATTCCATTGAAATTACTTGTCTAACACTGGATACGTTGCTTACCTGAGTTCAACTACCCTATCTGGAGTAAATTCTGCTTTCTATGTGGCTGTGGTAAAATCTACAATATGTAAAACACATACGGGATAGTGCTTCCAAGACAGTAGCTACAGCTGAGCATGCTGGGGTACACCTGTAATTCCAGCAACTCAAGGATGAGACAGGACAATTTTCAGTTCGTCACATCTTGAGATCCTGTCTCAAAAAGACCACACACATACACATCAAAAAACAAAATCAAAAAGGCATTTGCTAATGCAGAGCTCCAACTCTTATGCATGAAATACAAAGAAAACAAGCATCACTGGTAACAACACATTTATTTCAGTATCCTGCTGTGTGACCAGGAGGTGTTTTCTGTGTTCCAATGATTGATTAGATTATAACAATTAAATTTCCAGAAGGTAATCTAGTGATTATTGTTGCTCAGAAGCATAAGTTAAACAGACATGGTACCACATAAAGGAATTTTTAACACCTCAAACCTTTTGGTAGTTTTGAATATGGATCATTAGACTTTGGCAATAGATGTATTAAGATAAATATACTTCTAAACCTCATGGTTTTCTTCTGACACAACAGGAAAGATCTGGACTTACTCTCCGAAGTTCAGAAATCTACCAAATAGTCTTAGAAATTTACAAAAGGCCATTATCTGAGGCTGTCCTACTGATCACCCATGTGCCTGTATTCTATTCAAAGGGAGAATCAGGGTAGGCAACTGTTAATGTCATTTTGTGGAATCAGTGCTTGCTCAAAGTAATGATTTCCTGCAGATGACAGGGTATAAATAGTTTTAACGTAGGACTTTTGTGTCCTTATCAAAGAATTTAGAAAGATTCTGAGTCAAAAACTGGACAGCATGTTCAGCTGGGTTTCCTGTTAGAATCAGCCATTTCTAAGCAATTGCATCATACAGGGCATTTCCTTTCAGGCCTTTTATTCTTGCCTTCAAATCTTACAGCATATATTTTTAAAGGGTTTGATACATGTAACAATTGGGTACTCATTGCTAGAAGAGGACATACACATGTGCTGATCACCAAGTATGATTTATATTACATTAAATTAAAATTATATTGTTGGAAATAAACAAAAGGGAGTTCCCAGATCCAGAGAACATTATGGCTAAGGAAATAGAGAACTCAAAAAAAGGAATCCACCTCCAAGAAACTAATTCAGTATAATAAAATAGAATTAAGTGCCCTGTCTTAGGAAAAAGCTCATTACTAATAAGAAACAACGGGGACACCATACATCATTTCTTTGGAGATTAAAGTGCAGGCTATGAAATGGCATATAAAATAATGCATAAAATAGTGCAATCCTAAGGTGCCATTCTTTTTTTTATGACGCATAGCCTATTCTCACATGTCCATTTTCTTTCAAAAATCCAGCTGTAGTGACACCTTTTAGCTTATTTATTTAGGCATTACTTATACTCTGTTTTACCCACTTTGGGGGCTACATAGAATATTTTAACATTTTTAACACATAGAATAATAGCGCATACATCTTGAAATTACTAGAGATTAAGGCAAGCCCCTGTAAAGTTCAGTACTTCAAAAAATATATCTTACAAAAAAGTTGCTTCCAAAATCAGTGGCTTTAGACCTGTTGGCACTCCAATAGTCTTTAAACAGTAGGATTGCCCCAAATACATTTGCGTTTGCCCCATTTCCAGGCTCTGTACATCAAAAGGCTGAGAAACAGGTTCTATGTAACCTCAGGATGTGCAAAAACCAAGTTGGCATCCATGTGGGAGAGAAGCAGAAGATCCATTTGGGGGAAGGGCGGGGGGGGCAGTCCTTCATTTCTTATAGATGCTTTTTCACATTTTCATCCATGTGTGTAGTTTTGTACCATGAATTTTATGTGGGAATGACCCAAACAGAAGTTTCCTCCAAAAAACAACTAAGGCAGATGATGGAAATGCTTTATGAAGTGTTGTACTATAACAACTCACAGCATTTAAACTAGAAATGTACAAAGTGTTCTCTCTTAGGTATAATTTTCCCATCACATGTCAGTTTTAGTTGATCAAAATAATTTGTGATTTGTAGAACCCTAAATACAAGCAAAAACCTCTACATAATGGTTGTCTTGATAAATGGTGAAGGCAATATCCTAATATGTTTTAGCTATTCTGAGTAAGACTTAAAACTGTAGTGCTTTATTCTCCTAGTGAGGGAATATACATGCATTAAGTATAACTCAACCTTAAAAACATGGGTCTACAGGTGTATGCTGTAGAAATCTGGGGTTGGGAACAGAAAATTTACTTTCTAATAGTGTATATATTTGTTATCAAAGTCATATGCTCATGAAACTAATGGAAGACTAGATACATTTAGGCTATTTGGATGTAGTTTAAAAAGAAAGTCAGGAAAACTTTTAATAATTGAAGACATATTCTGTGGCTATATCCCTTTGATGCATAAGGATCATAATTTATAAACCTGTGCTCTGATACTTAAAAAGTCTTCCTGCTACCATAAAAGTAGACTGTTAAAGTATGAGTATTCCAGTAGGCCTCCTACAAATACAAAATTACAGTAATATGGCTAAATCCTCAGATTAAAAAAAAAAATGAGACTCGCTGAAAAAAATGAGTTCCAGACAAGGACTTCTACGGATGACCTTGGCTGACAAATGTTTCTACGACATTGTTTATTTTAAAGTTACCTTCTCAACAAACCATAAAACACTTGGATGTTACTTTTTTTTTTCATTGAAAACATACTACAGAATAAATGGAGCAACACATAGAAATGATCAAAAGCTAAGGACAATATTAAAAATGGAAAGTTTCATTTGGTAAGGTTACCTAAAGGATGAATAACCATGTTATGCTGGACGGATTTTTTTTTTTAAAGGCAATAATCTTGTGCTTTTATTCTTCAACTCTGGTACTTACCAAAACCTTAGGTTTTACACAAGTGTCAACTCCCACCTAGTAAGGGACAAGTTTCTATATTACAACTAAATTTACTTTAACTAACTGAAGCTCAAAGCAACAGTTGTTAAAAAGAAGTTAAAAGAAAAATAACTACATAATTTAGCTCATGAAGATAAAACTAAAACAGTGATTAAGTTGAATGTATCAGAGACATACAACTAGAGAAAAGAACTATTATACACAATTTGGAAGTTGTTAAAGTGACCACTCAGAAGGTTGAACAGTGCAAGACATGCATTTCCAGTTACAAGCTCAAAAGAGTGCAAAAAAAATTTAAAGCTTTTGTTTAAAGTTTAAGGAAAGCATGAAATTAATATTTGAAAAAAAAAAGCTTCTCTTAGGTCATCCCCCAGAAATGAAATGATCAAATTGTTTTTCATGGTACAATTTTCTTCAATGAAATTTCCTTTAGTGGCAAACTTGCCTCCAAAAAAGTTGGGTCCCCTATTGAGTTACCACATTTAGTCCATGAGCATACAGTGATAAGTGAGGATCAGTACTAGCTCCTGGAGATCCCAATAGAAAGAGCCTTGGATTTGGGGTTCTGCCTTGGACAGCATACCTGAACCCTACAGAGAATAAAGCAATGGGCTTTAAGATTCTCTTGTTCCTGTAAAACTGGAGGACAAATGGACTAACAATTCTCCCCCTAGAGGCAAGCTGTTGTGGTGGAAGATGTTAAGCGCTAAGTCAACAAAGATGCCACTCTAAAAAGTGGATAAGTACAGAGGTTCAAGATCAATACCAGTGCAAGAGCTTTTTAAGTGAGTTGACTAGGCAATGCATGCATCCATCCATGCGAATGTAAGACATGGCCCCCAAAGAGAACTGAAAACATGTATATAACAACTGGAGATATCCCTTGCCAGTAGTTTATAAAAATATATAGTCAATACTGTAGAGGCTCCTTCTACAGTCAATACTATGGAAGTCCATTCAGTTACCCATTACTTCAATACCAAAAAGCATCAACTACTTTTCAGACATTCCAGACGAAAAGGTCACTTATAACAAAAAGTCATTTTTTTTAAAACAAGATAGTGTCCATTTAAAAAGGTTTTTTCCTCTTTCAAGTGAACAGGACATTTTCTGTATTAAACTTAACATCTAGTCTGTCAAGACTGGGTTTAAAATCCTTATGTAATGTGCATATATGCAGAAACAAACTTACTTTAAACATTATCTGCACAGAAAGAAGTTAGTTCCCCAAACATTATAGCATGGGTCTGTTTAGTACAAATCTATTGCAAAGTAAAAACATTCTGTGCATCAGTTCCATCAGAAGCAGGAAAAGAATGTCCCAACTGTAAGAGTTCAAGTGTAAGTTGAGTTTTGAAAGCCTAGAAACCTAAGGACACCATGTTTCTCTCAGCATCCTGATATGCATAATTGTTTAAGCTACCAAGCCATAATGTCTTCCTCTGGAGCTAGAACCATATTCCAAAGACGTTACTTCCTATTCCGAAGACGTTTGGATTTCCTAAGACAGTCTATGGCTTCTGTTGCCTTTCTTCGTTTCCGAGGAGACTCCTCATTCTGCCCAGACCCTGAGGAGTTTCCTACTGCACTTTCCATTACTTCACGTAGCTTGCGTTCCAGCTCAGCCAATCGTGCATTCTGTTCACCTATGATCTGGGTCTGCTCTAGCAGTTTCTGGTCTTGGTCTTGAAGCTGTTTCTGCTGCTCTTGCACTTTGGTGCGTAGCTCAGAAATTTCACGCCTGAGAACAGTCACCCCAGCTCCATTGGTTTTGACCTGCTGCTGGAGTTTGGTAACCTCTTGTCTTGAAGGGTTTTGCTTGGAGAAGAGCTGCATTGTTGTTAGGGCTGCAGATGGTCCTGGAACTGGAGAAAAAAAAAAAAAGTATCACTTAACAGGTTTCCCTACTAGCACTATTTAGACTTACATTAAAATAGAGTATCAATTTCTTGTTTGCAAACTATTTCTTCTAATGGACTCATCAAATACTTTGCTTTAATTATAAATGAGTTTGAATTGCTATTTTCCTGCTCATGTGGCAACATGTAGACTGCCAGCAAATTATTGGAGAAGATAATTTAATGGCATAAATATTGTTAAACATTTTTAGGACCTAGCAAGAAAACAATTATTTTCTAGCTGGGTCCCAGTGGCTCATACCTATAACCCAAGCTGTTTAGGAGACTGAGATCTGGGGATCTCTGTTTGAAGTCAGCTGGGGCATCCAAATTTGAGATTCTTATCTCTAATTTTCAAGCCCCCAAACAGGAAGTTGGAGAGATATCTAAGGTGGTAGAGCACTGACACTGAGTAAAAAAGCTAAGCAAGAGCAAGAGGCCCTAAGTTCAAACCCCATTAGTAGTAACACAGCCACTCCCCCTGCTCCCCCAAATATATTTCCAAGTGGGAACTGATGGCTCACACCTATAATCCTTGATACTCAGGAGGCTGAGATCTGAGGATCACGGTTCGAAGTCAGCCTGGACTGAAAAGTCCCTCGGAGACTATTATCTCCAACTGACCACTCAAAAACCAGAAGTGACACTGTGGCTCAAGTAAAGTTCTAGCCTTGAGCACAAAGAGGCTCAGGGACAGGGCCCAGGCTCTGAGTTCAAACCCCATAACTGACCAAAAAAAAAAGTTTCAATTAATCTTATTTTATATAAGATAAACATTTATATAAACAAACATTTGAGCACCTAGTTTCAAACCCAGGGTTCAAGGTCTAGTAATACCAAAAAAGTACACATCTTTCCTGCTTTCCTCATTTCATTGCAGTACTGCAGTAAATTCAGGTCCCCTCACTTGCCTATCATGTTCTTACTGTTCATTCTGCATGTAGTTAAATGCAAAGGTTCTAATTGGCCAAACAGCAAGGACTCCACCAAAGAGTAGGTCTCATCACACATGATCAGGAAGAATTAGACATGGTACAGGAAGGCTTTGGAACTAAACTTTTAGAGGGACAGAAAATGGGCTTAGAATTCACTAACTTACTCTAATTAATTTAAAAAATTCTTATCTCCTCAAAGTTCTCTACAAGAATTAAATGAATCTATTCCTTAAGCCCATCATGCTAATTTTAACTTCGTGTGTATAAATAACCATAATATTTTCACTGCTTGAAGTATATTCCTCTTTCACACCCAACTCTAAGGCTTAACCAATTCTTACCTTTTAACAACTCAGACCAGCCAATATTGACTTTATCTTCCTTAAGACTCTGCCATATTTGGCATGTAATTGAACACTGCTTTAATGTATTTCTCTTGCCCAGGAGAATTTAATTTGGATTCTGGACTTGCCTTATTCTCTGAATTTATATGAAATTGCATGATCCCTTAGTGCATATACCACATACTATACTTCTTTTATAGTTTCTACAGTGCTGTAAGAAAATATGTACTTATTAAAAATACATACATTAATGCTGAGATGCCATAGGCTTTTATTGTTAAATCAGAGATCCACTGAAAAATGCAAGGAGTAATCTGAATAAAACAAAAAGGTTTATTAAATTGGCCCTCTAAAGTATTTGCAAGGATTAGGGATACCAAACAATTCAGTCTTTCATAGATAAGGACATAAATCTCAGTAGGCTTATAAGCTTTTACAAAATAACTACAATAGAAATGTAAGAGTGCAAAACAGTCTTATATGTCCTGTCTTTCAAAGTAGCAGCCAGACACTTTGGTGGCAGAAATAATTTACTGGATTATATAGATGAAGAATATGTTGGAGGTCTGGTGGTACATGCTTATAATTCTAGCACTTATAAGCTGAGACTGGAGGATGAAGAAATCAAGACCAGCCTAGGTTATATAGCAATATCCTGTCTCAAAAAATTAAAGAGTATTTTCAAGTTTTATCTGGAATACTTTTGTCTTGAAAAACTGAGAAACAAATCAAAATCAGTGTGTGTGTGTGTGTGTGAGTGTGTATGTGAATAAAAGTTACATATAACTTTTTACCCAGAAATGCTATCTTAACAAAAAAAGTTACAAAATTATGCATGAGAACTAATTATAAACTGAAGATATTATAATCAAGAGATACCTGGAGGAGAGCCCATGAGTCTTCCAGACACATCTGACCCTGGCAATTTCCTCTTTAGAATGGGAACAATCTTCTCATCGAAGTACTCCATTGCCATGGAGGAAATATCCCTTAACTCTTGAAGGACTTCATGAGCTCGTTGAGGGGCTCTGGTAGAATTGACATATCTCAGTACACGATAAATTTCATCAATCACCTAAAATAATGAATTCTCATTAGCACCAATTTATTTACTTATTTTTAAAATAGCTAACCAGGCATAGAACTGATCACTTGTTTTGCAATTCATGTAAAGGCCTACCAGGTATGTTAATTCATACTGGTCATGCAGAATATAACCTACTGGTATATATAAATGCAATATAAGCTTTTGGGCTTTTTATAATACTTTGTTTTTGTACAATTGTGGGGCTTGAACTAGGGGCTTGGGAGCTCTCAGGGACAGTACTCTGACAGTGTTCTAAAGAGCTCAAAGCTAGCACTCTACCACTTTGAGCCATAGAGCCATTTCTGGTTTTATGAGCCTCACAGACTTTCCTTGTCCAGGCTGGCTTTGAACCTAGATCCTCAGATCTCTGGCCTCCTGAGTGGCAAGGATTACAAGCGTGAGCCACCAGAGCGTGGCTGTCATAATACTTTATATTTAAGAGTATATTTAAAGAGTCAAGACAAAATATGGCTTCTTCTCTGAAGGGAATCAGAGTAATTGGGGAGATACAACCATATACATTGTGACCAAGTACAAAAAGTTGCTACAGTAACTAGAGGACTAAACACAAAAACAAAATCCTGCATGGGAATAGTGATAGTTTGGGGAAATAACCCATACTCATACTCTGCTAATCCTCCAAACCATATTCTATTCCCCAAAACTTCAGGAAACTCATTCTGATTCCACTTTCTCTTGCTCTGCCCTACATGCTCTATTCCTTCAAGTTCTCTTTCACTAGGAATTGCCCTGGATTAGAATAGTCTCCCCAGATCACACTTTCTTGCTATCAGGAAAGAATAGCAAAAAATTCCTTTTCAATTTAACAGTAACTGCAATGGAGGAATCTAAGGCATGACATACATTGCTTCCCAATTCCCTCATTTCTTGCTAAACTGTAAATGAATTTCCTCAGATATTTATGCTGTTAATGTTAATCCCTGTGAGGGTATCCTCAGTAATTCCTATGCCTTCACTACAGAATACAACATCAATTCCAATGGGTCTTTACCCTACAAGAACTGTGGAATAACAATCCAAACCATTCTATTACCAAAATCTCTAGCACTCTGCCTCCCACTCCATTTCTGCAGCCAGTTCCCAACACTGGACCAATTTGATACTCTGCTTACTCTTCTCCTACAGAGAGTAAACATCTATTTACTAAGAGAAGCATAACCTAGAAGAATACCTGGACCAAACTCACAGTGCTTAGCACTTTCTAGACTCTCATTGTAATATAATGATCCTTGTCAGTCTAGAGTTATATATATTTAGTAAATGTCAGTATATGTAGATTTTAGGACTATTTAGGAATAGTGAGGCAATCTTATGACTTTAAAAAGTATTTACATTGTGAAAAATCCTACCTTGTAGACCACAGTTTTAACAAGAACACATGGATAGCTAGCTGGGTGTCGGTGGCTCATGACTGTTATCCTATCTCCTCAGGAGGCTGTAATTGGATGATTTAAATCTATCCTGGGCAGTAAAGTTCATGAGACTGCATCTCTAGTTAATCAGTAAAAAGCCAGGATGATGACCAGATTGGCTCACATTTGTAATCCTGGCTACTTGTGAGTCTAAGATCTGAAGATCATGGTTCCAAGTCAGCTTGAACAGGAAAATCTACAAGACTCTTATTTCCAATTAACCACCAAAAAGCTGGAAGAGGAGTTATAGCTCAAATGGTAAAGTGTCAACTATAAGTAAGTAAGCTGAACTACCAAAAATGCAAACCTAAGTACTAGCAAGAGTGTTGGGAGCTGACAGTAAAGTTTAAAGGTCATCTTGACCCCAGTGCTCACTTGAAGGCAAGTACAAGAAACTGGCTTACTTAAAAAACACCAGGTGCCTGGGATTGCTTTGCTATGTCTGTAGAGTTTGTTTTACTTTTTACCAGTTGACCGTGTCTTATTTTTACTGCACTCTGTTTTTACTGAAAATTTCCTTGTTTTTCTGGACTACTGTAACCTTATGTTACCTCTTGACTTCTAATAGTATATATTAGGGAAAGGTAAAAATAAACGGTGCTGCAGTCTTGAGCTGCAGACCTCCCGACCCCATCCTTTGTCTTATGTCTTTATTTTTCCACATCCTCGCCGCCTAATTTAGGCTTCCCTTTTGTTACCGGCAGGCTCTGGCACAAGAGCAAATCAAAAAACTAAAACTAAAACAAAAAGCCCAACCCTAGCCAGGTGCCGGTGGCTCACACCTGTAATCCTAGCTACTCAGGAGGCTGAGATCTGAGGATCATGGTTCAAAGCCAGCCCGGGCAGGAAAGTCCATGAGTCTCTTATTCCCAATAAACCACTAGAAAACTGAAAGTGGTGCTGTAGTTCAAGCAGTAGAGTACTTGCCTTGGGCTGAAGAGCGCAGGGACAGTGCCCAAGCCCAGAGTTCAAGGCCCACCACCAACAAAAAACCAAAACAAACCAAAACAAAAAATAAACAAACAAACAAAAAAACCCAACCTTTCCAACAAAAACAAAAAAAATGGGCCATCAGGGATACTTGTGATAAGAAAAAGCAGGGACCATATCTATCTTTTTTCATTAATGTGTCTTCCAAAATAGTTCACTATCACTGCTCACATACAGCTCATACTTCAGTAGGTGCAAACTGCAGATGCAAATGTGAGTTTATTAAAAAGTTAAATTTCTATATGACAAACTGAAGATTTGAGAGATGCACACAGGAGCAAGCTAACCATCTAGAACACCTTTGTTCTCAGAGAAGAGGAATGGAATATCAATGTAGTGTTCAGGGTTGGCCAATTATACCTCTATTTAGCCTGGATAAGGCACACATTCATTTACTACATGCTGTTCATAACTGTCTCTCATAGCTGTGAGAGACCATATGACCCACAGAGCCAAAAATATTCACTATTTGGTTTTTCTACTGATCCTTGTATCAGTGGCAAGAATCTCAAAACTGTGATAAATATAGGGCAATCTAACTTAAATCACATGTTGCTGTTACCAATACTCAGTTCAATAACTGGGAAATAAAAAGCTGACTTTAGATACAAATTTTAACAAAATGGATATATATATATGTATATAATTCATATGCATATATATTATATGTGCATATATCACCAAAAATGAGTTGTGCTCTTATGAAGTATGAAAGTCCTTTTAATTTCCATAATTCAGGGATGCCATCTTAGAATAATTTGCTAGAGAAATCATAAACCAAATTATAAATTAGGCAGAAAGAACACTATTGTATATAATATTTACTATAGTTTGGATCTGAAGAATCCCCTAAAGGTCCATGTGTTAAAGGCTTGGTCCTTAGTTGGATGCTTTTGGGAAGTGGCTAAAACCTTTAAGAGATGGGACCTAGTAAAAAGGAGTTAGGTCACTGGGACATGTCCTTAAAGAGCTGGCTTCTTCCTGTCTTCTCTGCTTCTGGTTACCATGGCCTCCACTTCATATGCTTCCATAATAATATACTGTGTGGCCATAGGCCCAAAGCAATAGGCATTTGAGCCAAATCTTTCATCCCTGAAATTTGTTACCATAATGGATAGATGATTAACACAATGTTCTTATTCCAGTATGTGAAAATTAAGTATTACATTTTTCATATTTTAAAGGCAGTATCTGAAAGTGTAAGAAATTAAAAAGTCCCATAAAAACAAAAAAGTCAAACAAACAAAAATGAGAGTAATAACAAAATAATCCAAACATTGCCAACTCTAATAAGTTAGCAAATTTAGTCTAAATAAAAAAGTACCAGTAACATAAGAATTGTGAATATACATATTTTCTTTTAGGCAAGACATAAGCTTTAAGAAGGTACTTTCAAGAAATTATAATCCAAGATGAATTAAGTATAAAAAGACGTATCTGAATTTGAAAAGTAATTTTTTGGTCATTTTCAGTCAAGTATAGGTTTTCTGGAAAACAAAACAAAACCCAGAAACAGAATAAACTGTGAAAAAACAGGTACGAGTAAAGAAAACCAGAAGAAAGCAACAGAGAAGTAAGATTTGTCTAAATCACCATGTCTCTATGCCCGCGTTTTCTTAGTCTTCAAGTAACACATGGAAAGTGCTCTGAAAATGAGAAATTGTTTCACAAACAAAATCAGCAACAAGAGAAAAAGCTCGTAGACATCCACATTATGAGGTAAAAGTGGGTACAAATATCCTTTCTAGTGAAAAGGCAAGGTATGCCAGGGACAAAGATACGCCTGCTTAGGAAATGCTATGAGGACCAACTACATCTCGAATACTAGAGACAGCGTCCACCACTGCCACCTTGGCTTTGTTTAAAGTGAGAAGTCAACAAATGGTTACCAGAAAAGAATAGGACTCAACTGGACCTAATCTCAGTTGCTTAAATGCTAAGGATCATCAATCCAATCATTTCTTGACGAACTAGAACATGTAATGGAAACTACTGTAAAGGCCTAATGTTAAATATTTTGATCTTTGCAGCTCCCCTGCACTTGGTCACAACTGTTCTACTCATTAGTTACAAAAACGTCAGGATGTTCCTTAAAGTTCTTATCATTCAAAATGAGACATACAGTCAATACTATAAATATGGAGAAAACAACATATAGTGGTTAAAAGGACCTTTCAGTATTAAGCCTTAGGTATCAGAACCTAAAGTTTCTTGTCGGTCATACTTCTATAGCCCCCACAAAAGCATTTGTTAGGTTAGTTGAAGAAAGTGCCAAATACTGAGAAATATTTTGAGTAAAATTATGACAGGATTCCATTAAAATAAACATAGAAAAGTTAAAACTGGGAGACAATACATATACAATATTGCCAATGCTTATGATCCATAAATAATTAAAAAGAACTTCCACTTTTTACTAAGTATTAATAAATTCTAATCATGCTAAGGAATCTTTCTGTCAGACATCAACCAAACTATAAAATACTTTTTTAAGTTCATAGTCATATGTCATTTGAATTTATTCTTAATTCAAGAAATGAGGTATTACAAAAGGTTTAAGGAGCACGCAGTATGGTAGAATTGTGTTGTTGTTGATCATGGGGCTTAAACTATGGACCTGGGTACTGTCCCTGAGCTTTTCAGCTCAAGGCGGGCGCTCTAACACTTGAGCCACAGCGCCACTTCTGGTTTTCAGGTGGTTAATTGGAGATGAGAGTCTCATGAACGTTCCTGCCCAAGCTGGCTTTGAACCGCAATCCTCAGATCTCTGCCTTCTGAGTAGCTAGAATTACAAGTATGAGCCACCAGCACCTAGCTGTGGTAGGATTTTGTTAACTTAGTAATATACTTACTTCTTTGTTAAAGAGGGCCATTACTTAGCTCTGAGTGTATTAATGTATAAGAATTGTTCTATGTTGACTGTAACCCCTTTTTATATCACTTCTAAATAAAATTTAAAAAGTAAATTAAAAAAGGAAAATCTAAAATTAAAAATAAAAACAAGGATAAAAACCGAAGAATTGTTTATTCTGGTCAGACTTGCAAATTTATAAAGTTGTCATTTTTATGAAATATTTCTCAAGCAAAACAAAAATGAGCTTGTCCTCCTACTTCACCTCCCAAAAATGGTAACAATCTTGAAGGCAGGACAATCCCTATCTTGTTCACTGCAATATCTCTGGCATCTCTGCAAACATTAAAAGTTCACATTTTTTTGAGTATGAATTCTTACTAAGCTTCTTTATAGAATACCAGAGCCTCTGTATATTTTATAATTAGAATTTCAAATATAAAGACCACATGAATGATGTACGAAAGTTAAACAAACTCATTCTTTCAGAGATGTAGGAACAATTCAAACCTTTCAAATACCACTTTGTAGGTTTTTAACAATTAAATTTACATACAACCACAATCCAGCTATTCTGGGCAAGAGTCTATTTTACCTTTCCTGGGATGAAGCAACAGAGATTGGAATCCACGTACTTCATAAAAGTCATATTTAAGAGTGACAACCTGGTTTCCACAGCAGCAAGGATGTCTGCATGACGAGCTAGAGAATGGTTCCTCCTTTCTGACTCTCTCCTAAAATAATAATAAAGATAAAACAGCAACCATTAAAAAGCAGTAGTGTGGATTAGGATGTGAAGCAATAAAAATTCCTTAATGATGGTAGCCCCTCTGTGCAGCACCTTTATAATAATAAAATTATTTTTTGAAAAACTCCTCAATGAAACAGTCTTAGACAAGTCATTTAGACTTCTTCAATGCCATCATTAACTGTTCTGATAAATGAAGCACATTATAAAGACATCCTTGATAAGAACTAGCACTCACTGACAAAGGATGTTATCAACTGACATAAACTGATTAATTGAATGGTAACCTTTTGTGCAACTAAAGGTAACTAAACATAATTAAAAATTATATACATATATGTGTGTATATATGTGTATATATACATATATATACATACATACAGAGAGAGAGAGAGACAGAGAGAGAGAAAGCTGATGGGGAAAAAAAAATCCATTCTTTACCAGCCACTGGTAGTCATCCTACCTACTCAGGAGGCTGAAATCAGAAAAATACCATTTGAAGCCTACCTGGACTAAAGAGTCCATGAGGAGACTTCATCTCCAATTAATCAGCAAAAAGGCCAGGCTAAAGGTATAGCTGAAATGGTAGAGTACCCGGCATGAGCAAACAAGCCAGGTGAAGGTATAAGGGCCTGAGCTCAAGTCCTAGTATAGGTACACACATGTATGTATACACGTATACATACACATACACACACACACACACCACAAACACATGATGACAGCTATTATAGACGATTTGCCTAGTATACACAAGGCTATGTAGCCTAAGCAGGCCTCATACCTTCCATTATCTCAGTATCCTGAGTGCTAGGATTACAGGCTTGCACCACCACACCATCTACTTTTTGTGTTACATGTAAGAAATCACTGTCTATTTCAAACTCATGATGATTTACTATCATGTCTTCTTCTAAGGATCCAAGAGTTTGCTACTGACATTTACTCTTAGAAGTTGATGGTCCAGGGCGGGCACCAATGGCTCACGCCTGTAATCCTAGCTACTCAGGAGGCTGAGATCTGAGGATCACGGTTCAAAGCCAGCCTGGGCAGGAAAATTCATGAGAACCATATCTCCAATGAAGCACTCAGAAAACAGAAAGTGGCGCTGTGGCTCAAGCGGTAGAGCGCCCACCTTGAGCTGAAAAGCGCAGGGACAGCGCCTAAGCCCAGAGTTCAAGCCCCACAACCCAAAAAAAAAAAGAAGTCGATGGTCCATTTTACATACACTCTTGCTTGGCCTTCTTATTTTCAGCTGGTCCCTACCACCTGAACTACTCTTCCAGTCCAGCATTTTTTTGGTTATAGATAGAGTCTTGAAGACCTTTCTGCCTGGGTTGACTTCCAACTGTGATTTTCCAGGTTTTAGGCTGAGTAGCAAGACTACAGATATGAGCCACTGGCAACCATCAAACTTCATTTTTTTCACATGTTAGTTACTCAGTTGTCACAGCATCAGTTTTTTTTGTTGATCATGGTACTTGAACTCTAGGCTTGGGCGCTATCCCTGTGCTCCTCAAGTCAAGGCGAGCGGTCTACTACTTGAGCCACAGCACCACTCAGTTTTTTCCTAGTGATTTACTGGAGATAAGAGTCTCAAGGACTTTCCTGTCCAGGCTGGCTTTGAACTGTGATCCTCACATCTCAGCCTCCTGAGTCGCTAGGATTACAGATATGAGCTACCAACACCCAGCTTATTTTTATTTCTTTGAGACAATGTCTCTTAATTACCCAGGTTGGCCTTGAACTCATGATCCACCTGCCTAAACCCACGGAGTGCTAAGATTATAGACGTGTGCCAACTACACTCAATTTTTAAAAACACTACTGTTTCCCAACCTAATTGTCTTAGCAATCATAGTGAAATCTGTCCTTTGCTACAAAGTTGAAAACTATTTAACATGTAAACTCTGAGACAATAAAAAATAAACAACATGCTCCAACTATAAACTAATGTCAAAGCTTGCTATAACATACCTTGGAAGTTGTGCTTTAACTTGTTTCTGACACAGATTATGGTATCTCTCCACTTTCAAAAATCCCTGATTCAACATTCTCTGACAGACCAAGTCCATTCTTTTACAAACCTATGAGGGAGAGGGGAGATAGAATTACCAAAAAAAAGTCAATAACCACATTATTAACAATGAATTTAGATAATCTGATGACTGAACATTTTGGGTGCTAGTATTGTTATACAGTTTGCTGTCTGAATCTCAAGTCAGTGTAAGTGGGTGAATCTCTCTCTCTCGTCCATCATGGGGCTTGAACTCAGGGCCTGGACACTGTTCCTGAGCTTCTCTTGCTCAAGCCTAGCACTCTACCACTTGAGCTACAGCACTACTTCCGGATTTTTCTCTGTATGTGGTACTGAGGAATCGAACCTAGGGCTTCATGCATGGCTAGGCAAGCACTGTACCACTAAGCCACCTTCCCAGTCTGGGTGAATCTCTTAAAACATGTATTCTTATAACATCTCATTTTAAAAAATTATTCTTAATCTGAGCAAGTAAGTGTCATTCACTTTAGGTAATAAGTACAGTGATCCTTCACCTATTATGGGAGTTACGGCCCAGAGATCCCCCCCCCCCCACGATGGGTGAATATCCACAAAGTAGCAGGGTTATTTTGTTGTCCCTCACTATATCATGGTTCACTTATTGGTACTTCAAGGATTTTCACCTATTGCAGAATCGGGGGGGGGGGAGGAGAGATGTCTCTGGAATGTAGTTTCCATAATAGGTGAGGGATCACTATATACAATGAAGCTACAATAACCAAACCGTGATATAGTGTGGGAAAACTGAAGTCCTAACTATGTACATGAAGGTTCTCAATAGTTTGAAAGAACAATTTCCATTCAGCCAAAAATGTGTAATTCAAATTTAAGTCTAACCTCACAAAATTTACATAATAAATAACTAGAATGAGAATACTTATTTTTTCCTAGTCATTTGGGTCAATTATGTCCTCCAAAATATTCCAGTTTATAGCAACAAGCAACTACTCTGAGCCATTAAGCCAAAGACTAGAAGTCAGAACAGTTGGTGTGAGTCCAGTCTGCTTTTTTGTTTTGTGCTGGTTCTGGGTTGAATCAGGGCCTGGTGCTGTCTCTGAGATTTTTTTTTTTTTTTTGGTTCAATGCTAGTGTTCTACCACTTGAGCCACAGTTCCACTTCCAGCTTTTTCTGAGTTGTTAATTCGATAAAAGTCTCATGAACTTTCTTGCCCAGGGTAGCTTTGAACCATGATTCGTAGAGGTCAGCCTCCTGATAAGTTAGGATTATAAGCATAAACCACTAGACTTATATACATTCTTGTACAAGAAGCTACCACTTAAAAGCTGATACAGCAGGTATAAAATGTGGATATTATCTAACTCAGTTATTAGGATTAAATAAAATATATGCTAAATCACTTGGTAAACTTTGAGCTGAAATACAAAGTTGTTAGCTCAATAAAGTGTATCTTAATATTAATTTTAAATCTTTGTTCCACTTATCTAACTTGAGATAGCCTAGTATCTTTCTTAATTAACTCTAGTACCTAAAACTTGTTTTTGGATCCCTAACAATTTTGTAATGGTTCAGTCATCAGTCTGGACGTTGAGAATACAAGTCACTAGAGCTGGGAATGTGGCCCACTGGTAGAGTGCCTGCCTAACATGCATGAAGCCCTGGGTTTGATTTCTCAGTACCACATAAGCAGAAAAAGCTGGAAGTAGTGCTGTGGCTCAAGTGGTAGAGTGCTAGTCTTGAGCAAAAGAAGCTCAGGGACAGGGCCCAGGCCCTGAGTTTAAGCTCCAGGACTGACAAAAAAAAAAAAAAAGAAAGAAAGAAAAAAAGAAAATACAAGTCACTTAAGTGACTGCCTATCAAGACCAAGTCAATTATGCTGAAGTGTCTCTTATGCTTCTTTCTCTCTCACAGCATCCACATGCTTGATCTATACTGTGGACATGAAATGGTGACTAAACCACTGATAAATCTGCTTTCTCCTGAAAATGTAGAGACCAAAATTCCTGCAAATTGGGCTGAACTTTATTTAGACTTTAATATTCTAACATTAATACCACACTGCCACATAGTATGCCACATATATTGTATTTGAAGCAAATATGTATTTCCAATCTCTAAAGTGTATGCAAATATATATTTCCCATCTCATAATTAAAAAACAAAATTTAAGTACTGAATAATTTATGATAAATGAATATAGTAAAACTTTTTCCAAAGATTTTAAACAAGTTATCAGTATTTATTGAGGATATGGTATAAAAAGGCCAATAAGCCCAACACATACTAACATGTTTTTAATAAAAACAAGTCTCCCAAAACTATTTAGTGAGGGATATTATTTTGCACTTTGGAAATTTCCATTATATGTTTGCAAATGATTAAGTAAAAACATAAAAAACAAGAGTTACTTAGATTTTATGGACCCAAGGAGATCTTTGAAATTGCTCTAGGTTTCCTGAACCAAACTTCAGACAGTCTGTACCCTAATCCTGAATAACCACAATGAACTTTAAGAGAAAAATAACTTTTGTTATACTATTAAGAGAAGAATAAGGTAGTTCATCCATGTGTATGATATGAAGGAAATAGAACTAAATTCCCATATTTCACAGTAAAAACACATCAGATGTCTAATACCAGACTGCTTCTGCTGAGTAAAATTTGGGGACTATAATTTTTGTTGTTGTTATTTGTTGTGTGGCTTGAACTCAGGGCCTGGGCACTGTCCCTGGACTCTTTTGCTCAAGACTAGTTAGCCCTACCACTTTGAGCCAAAGCTCTTCTGGTTTTCTGGTGGTTAACTGGAGATTGGAGTCTCAGTCTTCCCTGCCCAGGCTGGCTCTGAACAGCAATCCTGAGTAGGTAGGATTTCAGGCCTGAGCCACTAGGACCTGGCTTGTAATATTAATTTTTGTTACAGCCATTTGACAAATTAGATCATCACATGGAGAGACACTAAAAAGAAAAAAAAAGTATCCTTAATAACCTTGTAGAACACTTTCTTGTCCTTGTAGACTCTATCTTGTTAAGTTCTGAGATGAAACTTTTTTAAATTGTTATTCTAAAGGTGATATACAGAGGAGCTATAGTTACATAAGTCAGGTAAAGTATACATTTCTTTTTGGACGTGTCACCTCTTCCCTCGTTCTATGCCTGCTTTTCCCTCCTGTCCCCACCCAGTTCATTTTCCCGTACTGTTCAGTAGAGCACCACTGCTGCATTTGTTCACCTTTGTCCCTCCATTTCTGTGGTCTCCTTGCCATCTCAAAGACAGACAAGCAAGACAAAAAGAAAAGAAAACAAAAACAACCATTTCTTAGAAACAAGTATTTTAATATACTTTTTTTTCCTTTGAGACATTGTCTTACTATGCAGCACAGACTGACTTTGAACTTTGTGATCCTACTTAGCATCTAGATGCTGGGATTATTGGTGTACCATTATTTGGTTATGCAATGATGTGTTTGTGGCAGTACTGGTACTTGAGCTTGGAAAGAAAATTTTATCAATCACTTATTTACAGAAAAAGAATAAGGGCAATTACTATTACAATTTTCAGGGAATGATTAAAATTATTTTGAGTTTTTTTGTTGTTTTTTTGGGTCCAGTCATGGGGCCTGCACTCTGGGCCTGGGCGCTGTCCCTCAGCTCTTCAGCTCAAGGCTAGCGCTCTACCACTTGACCCACAGCACCACTTCCGGCTTTATTTCTTTTTGCTTATGTGGTGCTGAGGAATCGAACCCAGGGCCTCTGGCATGCAAGGCAAGCGCTCTACCACTGAGCCACCTTCCCAGCCCCTTGAGTTTTGTTTTATGCAATACACCTAATTCTACGAATTCTAGGGTTTATGTATCTTTTACTAATCATCTAGAAATTCAATTAAACATGAGCACTAACTAGTGTAAGTACGGAAGTATGGTTGACGAGAATATGAGCAGCCACATAAAGTCAAGAAAGGGAGACCTCACATGAAAAAGGAAGAGGGAGCAAGGACTACAGAGTTCTAAGTGACGGTGCAGGCAAAGGCAGGTGTATGGACTATGGTAAGAATTTCCAATGTTCGAGCAGGGAAACCAAATGATAGTTTAAAAATTATTTTAAAATGAAAAGAGCACTTATCTTTTGAAAGATCTAGCACTGGGATAGTCAGCTGACTTATTTTCAATCCGCACTGTAATATTAGAATATGACTCCTAAAAAGATATGGTTCTGAAAATTTCACTGGTGATAACTGAAATCAATGTACATGAACATCAAAGGAACAAGTCAATTATAAAAAAGGCTTTATAAATAAAGCTTTAAAAATGACATTCACAGTATCAAAGGTAGTAAAAGAGAAAAGAGATCAGAAGAAAGGAAATCCCAAAGACAAATTAGAACAGTGCTAGAAAAGTCAATGTCAAAAATATGCAAAGCATTAGTAGCTAGTATAAGACAATCAATGTTTTAATGTGGTCCTCCTTTCATGGATGTTCAATAAACCCTGACAATACAGTATAGAAAAGCATATATATATATGACTTTTGTTTTCAGATTCAGAAGGAAGCAAGGTGACCACAGGAAAACAGGAATATACCATATTCCCTAAGGCAAGTAATCTAATGATCATTGCTAACGATGTTGCATGCTAACTTGCACCTCTAGATTACCTCACTTAGATTATGGATATAGCTCAGTGGCAGAATGCCCAAAGGTCTTGGGTTTAGCCTTAGGCTCTTCAAAACACACCAAAACAAAACCAAAGAAACCTCATTTAAAGCGTAGCTCTAAATTTAGAGGTATATTAATGATTTTCCAATACTAAAGGAAAAAATGTTTCTCTGATTAAAACCAAACAAACAAAAGTCTTAGTAATTTGACAATCTAAGATGGTTAAGTTAAAAATATGGAGACTAATAATAACAAAACAAAGATAATGACAATGTCAAAATTATCAGGGCTCATAGAAGCAAAGGGTAGAATGATGAGTAGACAAGGCTGGAAGGACTGGGGATGTAGTAGAGCACCTCCTAGCAAGTACAAGGTCCTAGGTTCAAAGAAAGAGAGGGCAGGGGAAGGAAGAATAAAGG